TAGCGAGCTAAATCGGGTCAATGAATTCATCATCATCATCATCATAGGATCCGCTGGAGCAGGCAGTATCATGCATCATCTCATTGCAAATGGTGGAACTGATGTACTTCCCTTCAAACGGGCCTACATCGAGTTCCCGGGATGGGTTCCCACCTCATCAGAGACCCAGATCCAAACTGCACGGGCACTCTTCGACACTATTGGTACACAGAGTATCTCCGAAGCTCGCAGGGTACCATCCGAGAGTATTATTCATGCGAATGCCCGTGTAATATCCTCCTCGAAGGACAGCACATTCTCATATGGACCAGTGGTTGATGGAACATATGTGCCGGCTACTCCAGGTCAAGCGTTTCTTGACCGCAACTTCAACTCCAACGTCACAATCCTTGCATCTCACGCTAGTAACGAGGGATTGACATTTATAGCACCATATGTGACCACTGATGAGTTGTTTACCTCTTACCTCCAGGGTCTCTTTCCCTTGGTGGATTCTTGCGATATAGATTATATCCTTAACACATCATACTCGCTCGATCGATTCAACAACTCATGGTACGACCGCGCAATCAGCTTCATTGGCGACTTTGGTCTGCTGTGTAATGTTGAACACCTCTCGGAAGCCTACAGCAACCAAACTTATCGCTACCAATGGAGTGTTTTCCCAGCAATCCATGGTGGGGATTTCCTGCATCGGTTTTATAATGGAGCGGGCAGGGACCAGGTTGATGGGTCTATTATCGTTCCTTACGCAGACATCCTGCAGGGCTACATTGCAAACTTTGTGAAATCCGGCAATCCGAACGGGGAAGGGCTCCCGGAGTTCCCTATCACTGGCCCAGAAAGAAAGATTCTGGGCATTCAAGACGGGGGAATCGATATCCAGAAGGGTCCTACCAATAGTGATAGATGCCAGTGGCTCCAAACAGCAGACTTGTGGGCGTAAACAGGCACACGCATTAGATGAAGCAGAAAGGTGTTGTAGCCAACGTACATATCCCTTTTGAGTTGTGCCACATCGCTCCTAGAAAATGTATACACAGTATTTGTAGCTTCGCTTCGGCTCCCATGAACCTTGGCTTCTAGTTGTGTTTGAAGGAATCTATTTTTGTAAATTGTCTAATGCACAAAACTTGCCTCGTACAGACAGGAATCAACCATCGTCCTTCAACGTAAGAACCAATCACGAGTAGTCCCATAAACTTTCGATCTATCCCACTCCCCCTCCTTCGGAAACAGCGGCCTAAAGTCATTCGAAGCAGCTATCATCCCCGGAATCTCGACACCAAAGTTATGTTTGATCAGCCGCAAGGTCGTGTTAATCCACATTCGTTGTTCAGCCGGTGCAAAAAAAAACTGAGCGAGCAACATATAACGGGTTCACGAGTTGGATTGGGCCTAGAGGCGAGACTTGATAGATTGTGGGGTTTGGGGGAAAGCTAGGCGGCGTGATACCTAGAAAGAATGGGGCGGAGCTGTATATTGATTGAAATACATCCAGGAGTGACTTTTGGGTTTCTGAAGTACTTTCTTGGTTTTGAGTGGCGTTCAGCAATAAGCAGTGGTCATTTTGATCCAGGAAGGCGTTGCAGCGAATAATGACAGACAGAACCATTGCTCTCAATGTGTAGTATCTGCAGTGGAGCTCTGCTGTGTACAGGTTGCGGTAAAAATAGGCTTCTCGGAGATTTGGACCAAGTAATTGTGGTGCAGGTGAGACCCTGTGCAGGTCTGCGGCTGGGATTGAACGTGTTTTTGAGATCAGAGGCAGATTATTATGCCAACAAATAAGTCTGGTATCGAGCTCTTTGCATTGCTGAATGAGAGACATTATTGACAATAAATTATGTGGACTGCGATCGTCCAGCAAGGCTGATTGTGTAGAAGCACGTAGATTCGCCACTGATATACCCAGACTGGTAAGTTCGATAGAGGGGTTTGATTCTATGTTTTGACAAAACAAGCAATTGTGAAACATGTGGTAGTGGGTATCCAGGAAGTAGCTCATGGATTTAGATTTTAGGACATGATTCATCACCTTAATATTTGTTTAGCAAAAACTTGCTAAATGTTTGTTATCTCTCAGATGCCACAGGCTCGCCATCCCATAGTTACTAACTATATAGTCAGTCATCTTTCCTAGTTTGTATAGTAACTCTACAACAATTTACATATTGTACACTATCGTCTACCATCGTAGACATTAATAGGTTATGAGCCCGGGAGCTTATTATTAACAGTTTAACTACTAGTTAATATCCCCGGTGTCTATATATCTCTCCCTATATATAGGGGTGGTACTAAGCCTAGTACTACCTAGTTAAAACTCTCACTTTTCTTACCTCCGCCTACCTAGAGATCTTACCTATTTAGGCAGTGGGAATAGCTTTAGGTTTACAGCTTATTACTATTATTAAACCTACTAAGGTGATAGGTAGGCTCTGTTTTGTATAGGGCTCTCCCTACTAGGTATTATTATCTTAGGTCCTAGAAATTAATATATTAAGTGTTAATTAGATAGTTTTAGAGGTTTATTTGCTTAATTACTTATTTACTAGTAATCCTTAGGTAGGGTTTATATAAACCCTATCCTTAGTAGATCTCTCTCTCTATAAATATCTCTCTCTCTCTCTCTATATCCTCTCTATCTACCTTTTTTATTAATTTTAGGTACCTTACTATTCTTTTCTATTAAATTTATTATTACTATTATCTTTAGTATACTTAGTTACCTAGGGATAGCCTTACTTTTACCTATTTAGGAAGTTAGTATCTTACTAT